AGAGGAAAATGGAAAAGGAAAAGAGAGAGATACGTGCTTCTTAGTGATCGTTTGACTCTCGTCGCCATGTAATGTTCTTATTTGTTTGTTGATTGATGATATCAAAACAATAATTGAACTCCGAAGATTATAACACCTCGTTTCGTCCAATCCATTCGCTGCTCTTTATTTTTCATTACCGGATGTCCGCTCGCGCATGCGTCAAATTGCAACATAGAGTCAGCATCGATACAAACGTAAAACACTAGGCTGGACATCACACAGGACTTGAATTTTATAAGGTGATGATGATTATAAGGTACCTCGTGAAGCTGTATAGCAGCATACACGCTCATACCACGGTGCCGAGCTACAGATACTTCCTCTGCGACAGACATCATAGGTAAGCCATGAAATTTAATTAGTGCTACACACAAGCGCAGCACGCGCACATGCTCACGCACTCACACGCACACACACACACACACACACACAACACCAACACCCACACACACACACACACACAATAACACACATACACAAACACGCGCTCATTCGCACACGCACGCACCACGCTCGCAAGAACGTAAGCCCGAACCAACGAACAGAAACGAATCGCGAACGAACGAACAAAAGAATGAAGCGAAGAACGAACGAACGAACGAACGAACGAACGACGAACGAACAGAAGAACGAACGACAAACGAACAACCAAACAAACAAATGAAGAACGAATGAACGAACGAACGAAAGAAAGAACGAACGAACGAACGAACGAACGAACGAACAACGAATGAACGAACTAATAAACGCGCGCTCACTCATGTACGCGCGCAAGCACACCCCTAGGCCACAATCGCAACAACGTACAGCTACAGGTATTTTGAGCTACGATACTATTAGATGTATGCTTCTATAATGTTACATATGATATATTCGATACTATTAGATGTATGTTTCTATAATGTTTACATAAGATATATTTTCAGCGTCCTTATTTCCTACACGAAATGAAGAGAGTGATTCTTGCGATACTACTGCTCTTTTCCCTGCGGCGTCCACGCAAGCGGGTAAGCGCACTCGCACACGCTTTCTTACGAGGATTTATATGGCATAATTACAATCGTTTGCTACATAAAGTCGGTATGAATACAATGAACAACTTATTGCGTAGTAGCTTAAATGTACTCTACAGTAGAATAGTTTATATTGTTATATTTTAAAATATCGCGCTAAGCTATTTGTGTTAGTATGTGTATAGGCGGCGGTGTAATAGAAGAATTTTAATTATTTCGTTTCAGCATGCGGCGCGTCAAACGCCGAACACATATTGCTGCAATGGAAGGCTCAGTTATGAAAGGTTCGAAAACGCGCATGCTGCATACTTCTGCGTAAGAACAGCCGAACCACACATTTCTGCAATGGAAGACTCAGTTTATAAGGCATAAACTATTCGTGTTATTAATCTATGCCATACATCTATGTTTGCGAACTATAATGCATGTTGCGAACAGTAATTCACATGGTTATGTATGTGAACTGGCGATTTCTCCATAAACTGACTGATATGATTGAGTGCCACTTGTTCATATGCTTATGAAATGGTAATGAATTATGTATACTGGCGATGTAGCAGATCGAATCTATCTATATACTATTGTATGGTAAATTCATTGTGATTTTCAAATGACAAATTATGGTATCATTTTGCGGGCAGTACTTTAACTTTTGTTTTCTTGTTAGTATAAGAATTGATAAAATTAATATCATATCATAATGATGCAAGACATTATAGCTACAAAATGTGCACATGTGTTTTTTTAAAATAATCTTACTAGGTTAATGCGGAGATATCATTAATTAGGGCAAAGATCGCTAGAATTTTACGGGTAGAATTAATCGTATGCGTAATAATGTATAAGTAACATGTTTTTTAGTAATTACCAAATATGCGAATAAAATCCCGCACGTACCTTATAAATATCATATTGCTTATTGTTTTTGTTATTGATTTTGCTGCGCTGCGTGCGCTTGCGTGCGTGATGTGAGTGCGCTTACTAATAGGGGCTAGAATTATTATTGTATTTATTATCAGGACTAGAAAATTATAGCGGGAAATAGGAACGCTAAAATACATTATATGCAAATAATATTGAATACCTTTTGAATTCAACAGACAATCAAAACACGTGGCGGTATGCTGCTATGTTTGTGTCCATGGCTGCGTGCATGTGTACATGCTGCATGGTCAATCCGATCTACATCGCAGCCATGCGCCACAATTCTCCAGTATTGGCTTATATGCAGTATATATGCTGTAATGCAAATAGAATGGCGCTCACGTCGCTCGTCGCCCTGGACAGCGTGCATGCGTGCATGGTGGCGTGCATCGTGAGTATGTGTGTCGCGTCTTGTGACGTGCGCGCGAGCATTGCGTTCGTCCCTCTGAGATTCCACGCCAAAACACAATTTCATGACTTTGCATAAATACGCCGTAAATAAAATATGCATTGTGTTAGCAGCGTGGTAACGTGCGTATTTGGCCGGGGGGGTGTAGGGCATCAACTTCGGAACTGGGTAGGGGTGCCTCGGGACCTTGAAAACCTGACCCTGTCGCAAACGCTTTGCGCCTAAATACACCCTGTCCCAATATACTGCTCTAAAAAGTAATACCCAGTTGAATATTGGCACACTTCGGTTATGTCGCTTCTCCTGTCAATAAGGCAGATATTTGGGCCAATATCAGCCTGGTGAATATGGGCCCAATATTGTTTTGCCAATATTGGGCCGATATTGGACAATTCTGCCTAATTGAACGCACATATCCTGCCTATATTGGTCCGATATTGGCTGGTGATATTGGCCCAATATTGTTTTGCAATATTTAGCCAATATCAGCTTGATGGTTGGGTATCTAGATAACCGCGTGTGCCATCTGTTCCCGTCAATAATGATGTTCGGAAATATCCCTGTCCAGGGGGCACGTCGTAGCCTTTAAAGCGCACAATGCGCATCCAAACGCTAATTTCTTCAGTACTAGACTAGCAAATATGTCGTGTCATGCATATATCATACTACCTTATGCAAAAATAACTCTAGTTCCTCCATTTGACTGCGCGTTCCCACAAGAAAGAGGTGGCGAAATCAGGTAATCAGGCGCCAACAGCTAAATTGGTCTTCAAACAACATAACATCGAAGTGGTGACGTGACGTCCCATGTTTTATCTTTGCTGCGCCCGTACCGCTGTACCGCGGCACCGCTGCACGGTTGCTTGGAGATTGTGGGATGACTGTCAAACAACATCGGAGGTAATTTTCAAAATACTTTTTATAAGACAACGCGCAGTGAAATGGGAGGCAGACTAGAGTTTATTTCTTGCCATAAGGTAAGTATGATTATGACATGACACGAAGTATTTGCTAGTCTAGTACTGAAGAAATTAGCGTTTGGATGCGCATTGTGCGGCTTTAACAATGGGCGTGCCCCCGGGGTATTTTGTAATGGCTGCTGTCGCCCCGTTAGCATCAACGCCGTCACAAAATAACCAAGTCACGTATAGTCGTCAAACACGACAAATGACACCATATTTCATGGATTAAACAAACGCAGGTAACGTTGACAGCATTGCTCATTGACAGTTTTATACGTCACGTTTCTGTGCATTTCCACGTAAATATAAGTTATACGAGCATGAAACAATAAGCGGAAATCAGAAATGTATTATTTATTATTTATTATATATATATATATATATATATATATATATATATATATATATATATATATATTTATTTACTTATTTAGACATATTATATTTATATTATATTATATAGCTGCATACCCTATAGACCGCACAAACAGTTAGTAATCTATTGAAACACGGTGCATAGCCTGGCGCTACGGGGCGTGGATCCCATGAACTAACAGTCATGTTGGGCCGCGGCCAACAAAAATGACGCCAT